CAGGTTCTCTCTCAAGGTGAAGGTGAGAAAGTACACACAGATACTGTGCAGTGGGGACGACTGTTACATTCAGCAGCTTCCACCTTCACCTGCCTGTGAGACTTTGTTCACAGATAAATAATGTTTCAGAAAAGTCTCATTCAGAGAAAGGTGTGAGCACGAGCAAAATAAACAAAGGTCAGAGACCGAGGCTCGGACTCCGCTCGCTTCCTCTGGAAGGTGAAGGTTAGCACAGATATAAGTGCACACTGAGAAGGTGTGTGTGTGTGTGTGTGTGTTGTACCTCGCAGCGGTGCAGCAGCCCCGTCTCCTGCAGTCTGGACCAGATGCTCTGCACTCTCCCAGCATGCTCTGGATGGATGTGAGCGTTGCCGCACACACACTGATGCTTCAACATCAGACTGTCATACACCAGCCCTTGAGAAACAGCGACACACAGACGGACAGGAGAGGTCAGAAGGTCATACTGTGATGTCTGTAAATGCACCGTGACGACGACATCAACATCAACATCAACGTTCACAGAAACAGTTCCATCGCGGCCGTGAAGAGTTAGATGAAAAGCTCCTGAACTTTAACGCCACTTGATGACTCATCACTCTGCAGCACACACGTGACACAGCACAGAAAAAACCACGAAACAGTCCTTTAAACGACACGACTGTCAACGACACCAGTCTCATTCAGTGGCAGTTCATTCATCACAGTCAGCGCTCTGTTGCCAAGCAACAGCACTGATGTCACATTAGTCCAATCGCGGAGCAGATGCGCACACACACATATACACACACACACACACATACCGGTGCAGACACACACAGATACTGACCAGTGGTGAAGAGGTGTTTGATGGGACTGGCAGTGGCAGCAGGGGACGACTGTGCTCTGCCCAGAGGACGGTGGGACAGTGGGGACTGGAACACACCCAAATGCTGCAAGGCCTGATGGGAGGAGGAGGGGGGGGTCGGGGGGAGGAGAGGGAAGAGATTTAGTGTTTAAAATTCAGCACAGCAGAATGAAGACTCTGGGACGGATTCATTCAGAGAGAGTGTGTGTGTGTGTGTGTGTGTGTGTTAGACTTCCATTCATAAAAATATGTTAAAGAATAAACAGAGAAATGATGCAGAATAGACATAGAGACAAATATATAAACATAGTTATACATATATGTGTACATTTATAAATATATGTGATGAATATATGAACAGAGACACAAATATATATAAGAAATGTAACATTTAGAGAAATATATCATCAAACAGAGACAAATGGACAGACAGATAAATAAGGTTCCTGTGAGACGTGTCACTGAGTTCAGTGACTCTCTGTGTGTGTGTGTGTGTTTTTCTTCACTGCAGACACACACACACACACACACACGCTTCTACATACAGTAGGGAACATTGCTGTGCTCCCTGCTGCAATCTGGGTGACTCATCATGTGTGGGTGGACAATAAAACATACACTTGTAGGTATGCAGACACACACACACACACACACACACACTGTGCCACGGCCAGTGGTTGAGTCACCACTTGGTGATGTCACAGCGGTGCACGCCATTTGCGTCAAGTCTCCCAGCTTAGGTTCACCTGGACACTGATGATGCTGTCGCCTGGATGTGAGTGTATTTATGAACACACACACACACACACACACACACATCTGGTATGCGTGTGTGTGTGTGTGTGCGTCCAACAAACTTAATTTTGGATTTAAAGTTGTTCCAGTCTCTGTGAAATGTCACAGTCGGTGACTCATCCTGAGCTTCTATCATTGGATGAGATCACAATTTTTACAATGATGGCTTTTAACCCCCCCCCCCCAAA